CTATTACACTAAGATCCCTTTCTTTCATGACATTGTTAAGGTTATTTCAATCCAAATTATACTTATAATTCAAATTATGATAACCCACATGCAATATCTTGCATTTATTATAATTAAAACCCATTTGCCCAACTCACCAAATGATCTAAATCATTTTGTAAATCAGCCACATTCTCTTCACAGCTAGCAACACCCAAGATCTTAATATCATCTGCCAATTTAAGTAATTTGTTGACCATTCCTTCCTCTATATCATTGATGTAATTCACAAAGAGCAAAGGTTCTAAGACTGAGCCCTGAGACATTAATCCAGTTTGATTGAAATCCATTTGTAACAACCCTCTGCTTTCTTCCATCTAGCCATTTTTCTATTGAATTTGCTAACTTATCCCACATACCTATAGAGATAATTTTTTTACAAGCCTTTACTATACATATTTTGAATAATCAAGAACATTTAAACCTTTGTATGTGTATCTTCTATCAGAATATTGGTTGCCTTTTTTATACTTCTCTGTTTGGAAGAATAAGTTATAATATGAAAAAGAAATTAAACAGTATTTGAACCATATATGTAATCTGTTTAAATACATACATAACATATACATTTATCACAAGTTGTTTTAGTGTTAAATTAGAATGAAAATGTAGGTAATATACTAAAATTAAAGGAGCATTGATTGTTTTAATCCTTCAGAAATAGCTAACTTACAGGTTTACATTTAGATTATTATGCAAATGTAGGTAATTTACTTAAGTCAAAAGAACATTAATTGTTTTAATCAGAGCTAGATAGTTAGTGGAATCTACTAACTAACTAACTCTTGGGCTCATTAATTAATTAGTTAGTTATTCCGACAGGAGACTTGGATAGTTGAATTTATCAAAAATAGTAATAATTGGAAACACTAATTTCGATTATATTCATGAGTTGTGACACTAATTGATTAAGCTGAACAACCTTGAATTAATAGAAAATAATAATGAGAAATCATAATAGTAATATCTTAATTACTTGTATAGTTGGAATAATTGGAGACATTAATTTCATTTAATTGATTATTTTCATTACATTAATTGGTTGTCATTTCAATTAAATATTTTATGTGACTATTTGATGTAAATGATAATCATAAGTAATTAATTAATTGAGTTAATTATAGGTTAACATTTATTGTGAACAATGTATACAGTTTATTTATTTTTTTTATTCAGATACTTGATAATTATAACTCTGTGCTCTAGCTTTGAAGTCTAATATATGAAGACTTGAGGGGTAGTTAAGAATGAAATAAACTCCACAGACTTAGTTTGTCAACTGTTATAAGGCTATTATTATTATGATACAGAAAATATTTAGAACTTGCAGAAGGTTAAGCACTGTCACCTATCAAGAAATACTGACTTACAAACTACTCATTTTGTAATTAAAAAAATTTTTTTTTTATTTTCTTAGACTTGTAAAGATGCATCCAAGTTTTGATTATATAAGGTTTTTATATATTTTGTCTGACTTAGTGTGCTGTTTATCATGAGTAAGAATTTTCTAGTTCTTAAACTTAATATGACCTTTAACAAAATGGTCTTAAAGTGCTTGCTTTGTAATCGCAGATGCACAAAGAGTAAATTAAGATATCAAATAATTCATAGTTTCAATTATAAACTCAGTCACAACTGAAGTGATAAGCCAGCAAAAGAAAACTGTAAATTATAAAAATTAGTAAAGAGAGGAGTTTTCAAATTCAGTGAAACATGTCTATTCTTTAAAAGGGTAGTATCAGTTTTTCTTTGTTCTATAGAAATAAAATTTTAATATAAATTTTCCCAATCATATTAAATCTAAATATTTCATAAATAAAAAAAAAGTCATTTTGTTTTCTTTTATCTGTAGGAATAGCAGTTGGACATCTTTATTATTTTCTAGAAGATGTTTTTCCAAACCAAACTGGTGGCTTTAAGATTCTCAAAACCCCTTATTTTATGTAAGTTTATAGAAACTGTAATTATTTATCTAACAAACTTTATAGAGCAGGAAACAGATTTAGTTGTTTCTTATTTTAAAGGGAAAAATATCTATAAAAATGAATATAATTTTGGCTTAGGTAGAGCACTGAGTGTGTACGTAATCTGTACATAGTTTTTCACAATAATATAGTTAAATATTTTAAACAGACTTCATATTCTAGTTAAAACTTTAAAAAATACTCTCTTCACTTATTATTTTAAATTATAATTAAACACTGTAGTAACTTACTTCAGGTAAACCTTGTTTGTATTTTGTAAATATGAATGTAATATATTATTATAAACATATAGTTTTTAAATACAAAGTAATAAAATAACTGTATTCAAGTGATTTGAGATTAATCAAAGTCACCTCTAAATACACATTTTATATGTCTTTGTAAGCTAACAAATCTTGATTTTCATGTTGTAACATTATTATCAGGATGTAATCTTTTAAAGTATTGAAGTACACAATATCTATCTGCCAATTGTAGCTTTAGGTAATTTCCACTGTAAAAAAAGTTGTATCTGGAGGTAAGCATTCTTGCTGATATATATCATACTTTATGGACATTTTAGAGCTTCTTTGTAGTTATCTATTTTAATAAACAAGAAAATATTAAAGAAAACATAGTATTTAATATATTGAAATCAAATGGTTATTATAAACGGTGCTTTTTAGCATTAGAACACCAGGAAAAACAGCACTCATGTTTACTCTTTTTATAGAGTCAAAAATGACATGTTCAGAATTTCTATAAGTGTTTAATATGATTCTTTTCTTATGCTAGTAAATTTTACTCAGCTTTAAATTTTTCTTTTCAGAAAGTATCTATTTGACATAGCACCAGATGATCCAAACTACCATCCCCTTCTTGAGGACCAACCAGGAGGATTTGACTTGGGTGCTGGTGATGTCCCTCCTCAGTAAAACAATAAATACAAAGCACTGTAAATATGTGTACAACTAGTCTTTTTTTTTTTGTTTGTTTTGAACTCAGGTGGTTCAGCACAATTTTTTCTTTCAAATTGTGAAAGAGCATGGACTTTTTTTTTAGAATAAAAGTAAATATAAAGTAAGTATTTTTCATATTAAATTGAAATACTGTGGAACATTAATTGTTCAAAGTGTAAAAATTAGTACCATTTAGAAGAACTTGCCAGAATGTAAACTTACGTAATACAATATGCCCAACTTCTCTGAAGAGTTTGAAATAAGCTAAGACAATAGTTGTTTGTGCAGTTATTTTTTTCTCTGTTCTGTTAGTTGTTATGCTTACATTGTTATTCATTACTATAAATTTCTTTTCTTTTTTAACAAGAATGAAATTATAGAAATAAAAATTTGTTTGAGGAATAAAAGTTTGTAACAATTCTCTCATTTTTACATATTATAAAAACAAATGTATAAAATTGTGAACCTTGTGCTCATTGAAGGAAAGTTGTTTTATTTTTTAGTTCAAGGAACAACACTTGTTTAGTTATTAGATGCTAATTTTAGCTTCTGAAAATGTATTTTATGAAGTTTTGAAATAAAACTGAAACTTTTAAAACAATTATGAAACTTTGTAATAGGTTACTGTAGTGTAGAAGATAGAATATGCAAATCAACAACCACAGCTGATATAAAGTCTTGGTGGAATGGCATGTATCAAAACTACATTTTGACATTGTTTGAAATTTTTAGATAGTGTGATGTAACTAAAAAGTGATTGCTTTTGGGAAAGGTATTTAATAATCCTTTTTGACACAAGATATTCATACACTCAGATTGTAAAGACTTGTTCAGATTATGGATTTAAAATTTCCAAGATAGGGATATCCCTTTTACTTAATGGCATTGGAAAAGAAACAAACATGAATCAACTTTGGGAGCCAGGACCATCCAGAAAAAAGACCTACAATAAACTATATCCCATCTGTAGAAAGTGCAACATTCTGTAACAAGGGAGAATCTGTGATAAAAAGGTTGTTAGTGGCAAAAGCTATCCATGTGTCTCAGGCAACCATACGTAACATAATTAAGAAGGATTTAAAAAGTGGCACACACATCACATATACACAGAATGCTTCTACAACATATCCAGGAAAGGAAGACTAATTGTATAAAACTGTATGAACAGTACCTAGCCAGAAAAAAATGGCAGTGTGTGGTTACAATTAATGAAGTGTATGTCAACCTTGATAACTGTAATAAGTCTCGTGCCATTTTCTAATAGTCAGTGGGTGAAAAAAATTTCCAAAAGTTGTAACAGGTGGGTTAATAGTCATGGATTTGACTTCCACTCATTACAAATAAGTTCGTTTATTACCAGGATATTTTATATGTGCAGATATGGGTAAGGCTCACAAGCCACAGACTAAAAGCCGTGGCTTACAGATAGCATTCAAAAAGAAAAGATCCCAGAGTCAAATGGTCCAGCGAGCTGAAGATGTCCATATTATCTGCTACAGAGAATTTTCACCACTCACATTTTGTATAAGTTAAATTAACATTTCTTTCTAGTCTGGTAACTTTATCTTGAATATGTTTGAAGGATTAGTAAAAATGGAAGTAACTAATAAACTATTAAATGTGGCTGAAGATTTAATGAGTGTTTTAGAGGAATTGTTGGTGGAGTATCCAAATACTGAAAGTGGAGATCTATATGAGCAATATATAAATGTGTTTTGTAAATGTATATTTTGTGTTCAATTAAACACATATTTTTGTGTTACCTAGTCTCAGAGAAATTTCTTTATTCTTTACATAAACTTCCTCATAATTGCCAGACAGGATGTTGATCTCAAAGCAAAACCATAACTACAGCACATGGTTCTAGGTTTGGCTTCACTATTTAGCACACATTATTAGGATGCCTTGTTGGTTTTGTAACATTATTGAAGTTCTTGGTTTTCTGTCACTTCTTGGAATTCAGCACATCTTTCCTAGTATTATCTGACATGCCTAGACTCCAGGCTACTGAACCTCTGGCCTGTACTTGTTCTTTTTGTATAAACATTGACTACGTAGAGCTTGAATTTCCTCTTATAATGCCACTGTTATTCACTTATGAACTTTTTCCAGGATGTGGTATGTGATATCTCATCTGCTTTTGACAACTGTGTCTTAAACTTCATGAACATTTTTCTGACCTGTTGACTCAATAATGTCTGTTTTCTATTGATAAAACGAATCACTTGTGTTTCTTATGTAATGTTAATACTTGGAATCTAATTAAGCATCAGAATTTCTTCATTGACGTATTTGGTTATCCAACACATTTAATACTATTTAAAACTTCCATTACCTTATTTGGTTAACTGCCACATATACTTTTTATGGCATCTAGTTCAATTTAATGTTAAGTGGTTTCTTTCAGAAAATTGTAAACACCAAAACATTTGCTATTAAGCAATTGTTTCAAGTGGTACATGGCACGTCACAAAACTTTTTAAAAGGATTCATGATCATCACTGGACACTGCACCAGGGGCAAGTTATGGATCAAGAGAGTGGATACAAAGGTTCAGACAGATCCTATTTACTATCAGACAAATGTTCTGGACCACAGAGAAGTACCAGCTTTGTATGGAAATAAGGCCAACAGGGTATGAGTTCACTAAGATAAAGCTTCCAGTCATACCTCCCATTCAATTGTTACATATCTTGAGCAGCTGGAGAATGAAATAGGTATTTATACTATTCCATAGAAAGACATACCAGTCAAGATGCTGGAGACAACTCATGTGAATTTCTGTGTGGTCAGACTGTTGAAACGCACACTGGGAAACCATTGTTTTTATATACTATGTGGATTATGAAAAGCATGCAGGGAAGAGGGGTGTGTTTGAACATGAAAGTATTATGATGAAGCCTTTTTTAACAAAAACTACACTCCAGAGCTATTTTATTGATGCATGGTTATTAGATAAAACAATACTGAATGTGACAACAATGAATGGTAGTGTTGTGGGTAAGGCTCCAACATTGTTTTAAAATAATGTACTTAACCCTCTGTACAAGCCTTTTAAGTGTTTGGCATTTTGTTTGATTATATTTGTGTGGTATTATCAGGTAAATCTGGAGCTAACAACTTAATATTTTGTAAACCATGAGGTTTGAAAAGGATTCTCTTGCAGAGAATAAATCAAGTACTGACTGCAAAGGTAAGACTAAAAATATAAGTACATGAGCAAAAAATAAAATTTTTATTTTATACAAGAAAATATTTTATGTTGTACTGCCAGATACTTTTGTTTAAAACTTACTGACTGCAAGAAAGGATGGTATCTATACCACACTTTCAAGACAAGTTTTTTCAGTTATAGTATTTCACATTCCTAGGTTATAACAATGATCATTCTTATTATATATATCTACAAATAGAGATTAACTCCCACATAATACCAAACCCAAGAGAGAGGCAATACTGCATACAGGAGATTTTCTAAGTAAGCATAAACTCTTGAATAACTACTGTAGTATACAAATTTAGTCTTGGGCAAGAATTGAAGGATGTTAACTAAGTGTACCTGTACAAAATATTAAAAAAGATATTCCTGACTATAATATACACGCATAAAAATTTATTTTTTCTAATCATAGCTGGTTAAAATATGGAGCTTTCAACTGCTATGCACATAGAAATTTTGTTCATAAAATCTTAAGACAGAATAAAAACCTCTTAATGTAGTAATTTTCAGTTATCACACACAAAAATATACATATTATAAAAAACTGACAGGTTTTTGAATAATGTCATTAAAAATTTTAAATTAAGTGATTCCTTAATCAATAGAGGTTAATGTACAGTGCATTGGCTCCTGACAGACAATACAGAAATACTGGAGAGTCCTAAGTTACCAATCCATGTGGATGATTATTTAACTTTCAATTGTCTTATGCCAAGTGGGGTTTTTATGGTTAGCTTACTGGGCTGTTGATTGGGATGTGTAAGGTTCACACAGTAATACCAATGACCATATTCTGCTCTTTTAGATGTGGGTGCATTACAAGAATGATAATCAATCCTATTATTAGTTTCAAAGCTAGACAAAGCCCTTGTGGCAGTAGTTACTGCTGACAGGCAATAGTTCAAAATTATTGAAAGCTATACTTGTACCCTAGAAATTTCTGACTAGGTAGAAAATACCAATACTATTAGTCAAAATTCAAGGTCTCTAACCATAGTGGGTTTGGTTATTTAAATAACTGATCTCACTAAAGAGCATGACTTATTGAGGTTACTTGAAGACAAAGTAACTTCCATTATAGGCATTTGCAAATACTAAAAGTACACAAAATACAACAGAAGTTCTAATTACACATTTATGTCACCTCAGTGAAATAGGAAGATGTTTAACATTGGGAAGGGCAACAGTAGCCAGGTGTGACATGTCCTGCAGTACATGCACTGCTGCTACATCGTAACCATGCAGACTGATGGCCAGTGAGTGACATGGCCTTCCTCTCTCTATCTGAAACACAAAATGTTTGTGAAATATTTTGATATATGTTGGCTCTCTCAAACATTATTGGGGGCAAGACCTGTCCTCTCTGTTCCTACTCCACTGCACCTAACTAGGTAGTTATATAATAGTAAAGGAAGGCACAGCATGATTTAGGCTATTAATACTACCCTGTTAGATCTATATTTATTCTTTGGAATAATTTTTCATTCATTTTATAGATGACTTAGGCAGAGTCTTCATGATGAACAAGCAAAGATGAAATGGGCAACAACTGCCTAGTTTGGCATGACACATGTGGAGAAAGTTTTGGAGGACTAATATACAAAAGTAGCACAGGTGGAAAAGGATGATGTTTCAAAAAATTTCTGTCTTTCATCTTCAGGAAAATAGAAGTTTTTTGAAACATCTTTCCTAAAATCCAAGCTAAAGCAACAGTCAGTTTCACTTTATGTAGCTTTCAGCGCCATGTGGTTGACTCTCTTAAATGTTTAAGTATACTTTATGATTCCAAACTTGTGTTTAAATTGCATGTTCATGCTATCTACATCAAGGTTAGATTCAGAGCAAAATGTATTTTAATTTTCTGTGATAAAAACTGTAATTGTAATCCCAAACCATAATTAAAATATATATACATTACTTTTGTTATCCATAACCATGAATATGCCTGTTCTGTTTGGTTAAATGCTAAGCTTTATATTATCTTTGTTTTTGAAAATCAAAAGTCAAGGTTCACCTTGATTACATATCTACTCCCTGGTACCTGTGCAAAGTTATCTTTGTAACATCCATGTTATACTGTGAAGAATTTCTAGTTTAGGAAAGAAATATTTTACTCTAACTTAAAAACTAAAATCAGCAAATGGACAACCTATATCACTTTTCACTACCAACATGGTATAAATACATGTTTGTTTGTTTATAATTAAGCACAAAGCTACACAATGGGCTATCTGTGCTCTGCCCACCACGGGTATCGAAACCTGGATTCTAGCATTGTAAGTCC